TATATATATATATATATATATATATATGTTTTTCTAAAGTTAATAACCCCTCAAAATACAAAGGTTCAAGTTAGAAGGAGTTGTGATAGGTGTATTTATCAAAACAATGATTACTTTTTTAAAATTTTTTTTTTAAAATAGGTTACTATTAAGCAAGAACAAAATTGGAATTTTCACAAAAATAGAATGGCATTTTGGAAGTTAGTATCCTCGAACTTTATTTATAGAGTGTCATTGTTCTTTAGTTCAAATTTCAAATTTATTGCTTATGAAGATGACAACAATACCATTTGTCTTGTAGTAATATTTACAAAATTATCCTATAAAAATAACTTTTTAAAAAAAATAGACTAAAAAATTAATAAATACACCCTTCACAACTATCTCTATCTTGAACCTTTGTAATTTGAACGATTGGGAAGTTTAGATTATCCTATATATATATATATATATATATATTTTATTTATTTATTTATTTATTTTTCTTGAGAGTAAGATCAATGCAATGCATATGAAAGCCAACTATGAAACCACCCGTTTTCTTCATTTGCCATCCCATCCTTGCTAACTTACCAAATTTTACCTATTTGTCTTTTAAACTAAAAAGAACTTGGGACGCATGGATGGAATGAGGAGAACAACCGCTTCCTCACTCATGCATCCGAGCGCGGGTGATAAAGTCGTGTGAAGTGTTAAGACACACATGCCAAAAGGCGCATGCACCTGGCCCCACGCTTTTTTAACCTCGTTTCCTACGCCCCCACACAAAGTTTACCTCCACCTCCCCACGCTCTGTTTTTTAATCTACTTTTCTGATAATTAATCACAGTAAATAAATGATTATCCCCGCATTTCTGGGATCTGGTAAGAATTAGACATATCATGCCGCACGTGCCCGGATCCCCAAAATTCTTATCGATTTAAATTATTAAACAATAAATTAATAAATGGAAATCTTACCCCGCAAAACTACATTATCGACTTGTCTGCAAAATGAAGTTAGGACACGATTGTTGGCATGTAGCTAGCCCGCATATTTTAGAAATACAGGCTTGACAATAAATATATTTTTTAAATAACATTTGATTTTTAATACAAAGATCGTAAGTATAAAAAAAAATTAAAAAAATAATAATAATTATATTATAAAAATATTTAGACCGTTATAATTGTTTTTAGATGGACCACTTATTTTTGTCTATCTTTAAGATGGATGCTATATACCTTTGGACCGCACGTTGTAGAAATGCAGTCTAGCCCCACCTAAAACAATTGTTTATGAAATTATGACAAAAAAAAAAAGAAATGCTTGGAGTGAGATCCTTGATTTGACAGCTAATATGGTCATCTCCTTTTCTCATGTTTATAGAGAAGCTAATACTTTGGCAGATTCATTAGCAAAAGGAGGAGCGACCTTGCCTTTCATTTTAGTTTTAAATGATGAAA